TCTTACTAGCATTGTATCTAGGCGGCTGATCTGCACTGGCTCGGAAGATGAATTCTGATTGGCTAAAAAAACAAAAAAACTTGTGGCGTTGAATGCACGTTCATTGTCAGTATTGTTATGCAAATTCAAACTAGCTAATCATTTACAACCTTCCGAGCCAGTGCAGATTAGCCCTATCTAGGCATATAGTGAGTGGAATTTCACATAGATGTCTATGACATACCATAGTGTGTGATGTTTGCATAAATCTGAATGGGTAATGAGATATTAAGAGCACCGTCGATCGAGTTGCTAGAAGCGATCGAGCGTGGATAAAAACTATACAGAAATAAAAATATGAAAACACAGTAGTCTTTGATTCAGAGCATGTCTTCCACGTAAAGCCTCGTCAACCACACAAACGTGCCTCCCGTCAGCATCGAAAAGGTGAGCCCAACCCACATCAAAGCGAACGACCAACTGAAATTGTACGTCCAGTTAGGCGGTGAACCAAGCTCAGAAGGCCACCATTTGATATGATGCGTTGCCATAGTTATGTAAAGACACAAACCAGCCAAAACAAAAAATCCTGTAAAACAATAAAAAGTTCATATAATATTTTTGAGTAGTTGGGTTTTCTGTCTATCCTCGGGGCGGACATCCGGGCATTTTCTACCGCCTGGCAACCCTCGCGGTGAAAACAAAGGCCCAAAAACTCGCAGAAAACGGTACTTTGCGATGGTTGTTGAGAGTCCCCTGAACAGTGTAACAAGATTAGCCCTACGTGTGTAACATATATGAATTTGGTTGTTCGGGTTTACTTCAAAGTTGAGTTTGCGTTGTTTTCTCGAGTTTTCACCGGCTCCACCGGCGTTCCACAGCAGCGCGCACAAAGCCCATAGAAATACGTGGTACAGTGGTGCGCGTCTAGCAACGTAGAACGTCCGTGACGTAGCTCCGCCCCCGAGGATAAGTAACACAAGTATTCTGGAGGAGGTTCACAAATCTTCAGTTGCGTGTAAGGATTCGCAAAATCACGATTGAAGGAATGTTCTCATTTTTTAAATAAATTAGCACGAGGTATAAGTAAATAAACAAATCAAAATACGCCGTAATTGTAATATACGAGCTATTAGTAAAAATTATAAACACATCTCAACGTAGAGTTATATATGTATATGGCAAGAACACAATCGATACAAAATAAAACGTGTGTGGTCAAAACTTCTTGGGTGGCAAATTGTCTACAATTTTCATGAATGTTAGGCTTGAATAAAAGCGTTATATTTTAAAAATATACGACTGTCATCTGTCACTGTTTATATACTAATTTATATAATGCGACGCTCGAATTAAAACGATGTATTGCAACAGATGCGACTAAAATGATGCATTTTGATAGAAGTGTCTCTCCCGATACATCGCAGGTGCTGTAAAAGACGTCAATTGAATAGAAATTCGGGTATCTTTTGTCGGGAAACCTTTTGTTATGCAGGGACGTTTCGTCCGACACTCTCTTTAAAGCGAACCTAAAT